TACGTACGGCCCCGTGAAAGTTTTTTATGGGTAAAATAATATCTCGGGAATCACGGTGTCTAGCAGGCTGAAATTTTAGGATAATGACCGCCTGCCCACGCTTGACCTTGCCTATTCAAATTCAGCGTTCCCGCGCTTTTGAATATCACCTATGGCCTCATGAAAATTTTGGCGGGTGAACTATTAATTCGGTAGTCACGGAAAGATTTTTACCCTTCAAGATTTCGAATTTAGCTTTCATGCGCTGGTGCGTGAAATTTTTAACTGTTTTCCAATGTTTGAACTATTTCTGCATAGACTAAAGTACTAAACTGTGAAAAACATTAACAGGCAATCGTTCGATAGGCTGAATCGCGCAAAACGCATGATTGCACCGGCTAGTCTGGTGCGCGCTGCTATTTATTCATATTTATGACGGTTTTAGACGCTTTTTTTCTAAAATATGAGGACGTTTAGACGTTTACTGCTCAAAGCTAAATTCCCTCGCTGTTCTTTCTCCCTGAGGCAACTTTCCAAGATAAAACTTCGTGATTTGTTTAGTGATGTTAGTTGTAAATTGGAGCTGGAATTCTAGTGATCGATATTCATTCTGGGTTGGAATTTCACGTGGTGGTTAGATTGATGGTCATATTGCTGATCCAGAGGGAGGTATAGGCCTTTAGCAGCAGTACAGGTAGTAGTGTTAAAACTGAAGAAAACTGTCTTCCGCGCCTCAGGTCTCTTCCACCCTCCCCCCTCCTCCCCGTCCCGTCTCCCAGGGAGTCGTTAGAAAATATTTCATTTTGATGCCATAACCCTACTTACTGCGTTTCATCGCATTTCTTAGTCGTAGTTGTAACTTTTACTGCGTTCTGGGTTGCGTTTGCATCCCATAATTAATCGTTTGATGCTTGTTTGTTTGAAGAAAATCTCAGGTATATTGCACTAATTTCTCATAACACTTATCGATGGATCTCTTTCGTAAAAGTATTATTTGCGCCAGAAACTCTGGACTATTTTAAAGACCGAAATGTTGTTTTTGTTGTGTGACGAAGCATGAATTATCGGGGATGTCTTAGAACGTGTTTTCAAGAACTGCTGTATTCAAAAAAAAAACAAAAAATCCTCCTACTTTTACTGCCGTTTCACTCTTTTTATTGCAGTAATTGCGAATAGGGTGGGAGTTTCATGTGAGAGAAATAATGGCCACTAATAGCCGGCAAGTTCGGGGATTCATTTTCTGTTCAGGCGACGTGAAAAAGCGGAGGAGGAAATGCGCGAAAAGGATGATACTACAAAAAATCGACGACGCACAAACGGCACACGTAAAAAAGAGCCAATTATGGCAGCAACAGCACAAGAAGCCATGGAAAAAGTCATACATGTAGGTGTAGAATTTTGGCTTTTTTTTTAAATTATTCAGAATTATTATTAAATTGCCTTTTTTTTTTTTTAATATTTGGTGACTATCAAATTTAACGCTGCAACAGGGAAAAATATAGGAAATTCTACGACGAGTTCTTGCATATTCAAAAAATGCGGCTGTAATTTACGTTTTTTAGGAGAAGAAGCTGTCAAGTAAAATAAATTACAATATTTTGAAAGAAATCGAAGATTCGGACGAGTTGCCATCCCGGCAGGAAGTTACAGCCGACAGTGGTAAGGCACTACCGGAAAAAGAGGAAGAACTTACTGGAAGTGGAAATGATAACGCTGATTCGACGGAACGCCCAGTGGAACTCAGTTCAGTTGCAGAGGTTTAAATTTGTTTTTTTTTTGAGATTTGTAAAGTCCCGAAAAAGTTTTTGCACAAAATTTACATATCAAGTGTTTGCAAAAAGTTGTTTTTTTTTTTAAAAATTTGGTTTTGCCTTGAGAATGAATTTGCAGGTGGCCGACAGCAAGAAAAGCACTTATTTACTAAGACGAAAAATATCGAAGCCGTCGTCTCGAAAGCGTGCACAACCAGATCCCGCGGCTCTTAATATGGTCAAGCAAGCGCTGTCAGATGTACATGATACAAAAACTGCGAAGATAAGCCTTACTCAGAAAGGTTAATATTATCAAATATTCACGGGCGTTGGGAATACTGTTGGAAAGGGTCAGTTTTTAGCAGAATTGTTGCGAAAGGAACAGCGTGTTAACGGCAAGGAAACGAAGCTAACAGCTAAGCTCTTTCGCCTTACCTAGTTGCCTTTCGATTCCATGCGATATGCAAATGTCCCGCCTCCTGACTCGAGTTCCCCTCACCGTGATCTGTAATGTTGTGGTTAGAAATGAAGTAAGGATTGTTTTTGTGTGACAAGTTCTCCCCGCTCCGTCATCTTTTTTAACATAAAGCATTGTTCACTAGTTTAGGCAGGTGCCTCCCACAGCTGCAGCCTCTACAGCCGCACAGTCCCTCCTACGACCGTTATAGTATGAATGTTTGCAGAGCTGCTGATATATGCTGAAAGTATAGAAGTGTACGTGTTTAAATTTGTTGGAAATAAAGATGGAAGCTTCTGGAGGTAAGCAATTGCCAACAGCAACCACACTGATAAGGCTGTCGATGGCTCCTTCATTTGAAGGTTGCTTACAAGTAGCTGATGTCGGATTTAACTTCCCGGGGTACACTTCATTACCAATTTATCGTCGTATCAATAAACGAATTGTAGAGGGGCTGATTGTAGCAGTGCCGGAGTCGAACTGTTGATTTTCAGCTTGAGAGCAGCGCTAATTGCTACTGTGCTGTGTCCGCTAGCATATGTATATTTGGTGTTCGAGGCTAATTTGGTCCTTTATACGGTGATGTTTTATTATTCCAGAATGCATTTCAGAATTCACGAGTATTTCATCCAAAGAGGAAGACAAAGGCGCCAGAATGGATGAGGAATTCGAAAATAAAAGGTTATTTTTATGTTACATTACTCCCTCGTTTTATTTTATCGAATTTCCCCCCTTTTTACAAAGAAAAAATTACCAAGTAATAGAAATTTAATTTTTCGACTTTTCATAAAAATTTTACAGACAGTGAAACAGCATGATGGATAGTAGTGTGCGCCAAAATTTTTGAAAATCTGGAGAAAATTCCTGTTTTTTCCTGGTGATTATGACTGGTAACATTGCTTTCAGATCACGTAAGCTGACTTCGTCGTCAACAGCCTCAACCAGCAAAGACATCTGTAGCAGCACTGTTTTAATAGAATCAGAAGAGCCACAACCATCTACTTCATGTACAGCAGCAGATGAAGCCGACATTGCCAGCAGAAGCAGCAGCAGTATTACAGAGATGGAAAAAGAAAGAAAAAGGCCAAAAAGATTACACATCGCTGAGGAAACACCTGCTGCACCTGATGCTACTTCAAGTTCTGCATTATCACTGGAAACTTCCGGAGCATCCGCGTCTGCACCTCGAAAATTGCCTGCCAAAACAAGATATATCAGGGCATTGCCAAATCTTACATGCGCTAGAACTGAGAAACGGGATTCTGCTGCAACTGTGTCGGAGATTTTGCCAACTACTTCTGGCGACAGTGCAGCGGAGCAAATGAATATAAAACCAGAAATTTCTCGTGTAACAAGAAGCACCAAAATGCAGGACAACGAAAGTGCTCCAGGGGAGGAATCAACGATCCAAAAGACGGATAATGCTGTAACTACGCCTAAAGAAGCTGAAACAGAAAAACCGATCACCACGCGCACACGAAGTCGATACAGGAAAGCGATGCCAAATGTAGCGGATGAGAGCAGTACGAAATTGTCA